ATTGCAGTCAGGAATAGAGACATGCAGGGAGAGCTTTTGTATTACATATAGCTATATTCAGTTAATTGTTTGATTTAATTCTAGCATGCCGTAAATGATCTGATGAAACGCCTCTAGTTTATATTAAACTCGTCTAGTCTAATGACGCCCCAGTGAAATCAGCATTTTGTCATAAAGAACTGGTATCTAATAAATACCCCCTCAAAGTGGCATTTATTAAATTAACCGTTTAATATACGCTTATTAGTTTGAAAGATTATTATAATAAACGTTCATTATTAAATTAAACGTGTATTAGATTAAGCGCCTTCCGAAAAACGACAGGGATTAGCGACAATGCACGAAAACGAGCGCGAAATGCAACTTGTAGTGTCGCCGATATATTTCGCGGGGCCTGGGGCAAAATTTCCGCCGGGAGCTCTATGACATCATGATTTCGAAACAGCAGAAACAGTGGTATATTTGGGGGCATGCACCCTCTACAGACCTGAAGTCGAAAGGGCCCCACAAACTGAGGCAAGCCCTCAACTTGTGAGGGTCTTAATTTTTTTAAACCCTCTAAAATTGGGGGCCCCTTTTCAAGTTAGGAGCTCGGGAAAAGTTGCCCTGCCCCGTATCATTCTCGTACCCAGAGCCCTTCTTACCCTTCTTACGCGCGGTGCGACGAGGGGCTCTGGCCAAATCCATATCCGAACTGGCATCTGATTGCCTAGTTCTAACACCGGATATTGTTTTCTTACCATGTTTTTATGGTATCCGGTTATGGATTTGGCCAGAACCCCTCGTCGCACCGCGCGTAAGAAGGGCTCTGGGTACGAGAATGGCCCCGTATAAGAAGAGTAAAACTGTCGTGGAAAGAACAAACACCTCTCTCTAAAAAATGCCTCTCAGATAATAACCCCCCTCTCCCCTCTATAACAGTAAGAACATTCACGGCGTTTATTAGAGCATTCACCATAGAACATTGATTTACAACGTTAGCATTTTGTTGTCATTCACTTAACAATTGTTAGTTATCCAAGTGGTAATCCGGCAGTTATTATATCGTCTACGGAGAAAGGAAAATATTCCTATATTCTTCAGGAGGTATGTCATTAATGATGCACACTCTTCCCTTCCCTCCGCAAGGCAGAGCAAGGCGGTGATATCTGAGGATTGCAAGGGGCAATTGGTGCAAGACTGAAGGTTATATTTCTGCCAAGTATTGCCTACGTCCGCCGTCTACATACGTAAAAATATGGTATCTTATCAACAAGATGTGTTCATGCACAACAGGCTTGTAGCAAGCTTGTCTCACAACTTAACAAATTGTTGAATTGCAGGGGCCAGTTGTATAAAACTCTTAATCACTTTTTTAATCACTATTTTGTAGTTAAATAGTGATTAACTCTCAAATAGGTGCTTCTTATTGGATGACGTTCGCACTTAACCATAGTTAACTTTAATCACTTTTTTATACAACCGGCCCCAGGACGATAACAATTAACTTGTTGGAACAATTGTAACCAGTAAACTGGAATGATAAATCAGGGGGCACTATAGACTTGCTCCAAGTCTCTCTTTCCAGAGTCTCTTTCATTGTTATATCGATCCACTATAGTGTACATTACATGACGTAGCACGGAGAGGGGGAGCGAGAAAGAGAGACTTGTCAACTTCGGAAAATCTCGGTTCAAAACTGAACCGAAAATGCAAGACTTGCTTTAATTCTTTCCTTCAATTTCTTTCTGTATTATTTAATATAATGGAACTCATGTTATTTAACTGTGCTAGATCAATACATATAAACACTGACAGAAAACAATTAAAGCAAGTCTTGCATTTTCGGTTCAGTTTTGAACCGAGATTTTCCGAAGTTGACAAGTCTCTCTTTCTCGCTCTGCCCCTCCGTACTACGTCATGTAATGTACACTATAGTGGATCGATACTATATGAAAGAGACTTGGAGCAAGTCTATAGGGGCATTAAAGCCGTGCTTTGTAGGTGGTGCCTCGTGAAGGCAACTGAAGTAACGAGATGATCAATTATATTTGTCTTTTGAACTGACATTTGAATCTTCGATAATATTGAATTAAATAGAGATTAAAAGCTGAAACGTTGCTGGAGGGAAATGTACCATAAATTATTACTTTATAAATTATACAGCAAAGGCCTAGCTTGTCTCAACTTGTGTATATTTTTTCATTAGGATACATATGAACACAGTCGTGAAAATACTGGTGTATTAGGGGTTTTTGATCCGACTGGACATGGTTCTTGTTACTATCAACAAACTGGAAAGTTAAGGTATTTAAGCAAACACGGTCCAGAACATGTTACAGCAAGTCAGCCAAGTCAGGGATATATATTTCATTTCCGAATAATATTTCATTTCTGTTCATTCCAATTTTTTAGAGCCCTTTGCAGGAGAAGTCCTTACGTCACGTCACTGTCAGACAATGGGTATCTGACCCACATTGCATTGCGTATACCTAATATTTTGATGGATTGAAAATTGCGTGACGTAAGCACTTCTAAGGGTTATTCTATGGATTTACAAAGTAATGAAAAGACAATTGCTCTCGTTCTGCTCTCTGGATTGTACTCTTGTTAAATCCTCCAAAATTGAAAAGAGCACTTCGGGGACAATTTTAAGCCGCCGTTTTATACGCGCCAATAATGAATAAAAATCAACCTCGCATCCACAGGGGCTCAATGCTGTCAGTAACAAGTGTAAAATAATCAAAATAATAAACTTACTTTAAAAGATCTGCATAAATTATTCGCAAGAATGTCAATGGAGAAAGAGCAAAAAAAATTATCTACATGAAGTACAAAAGAATCCTCAACAGGTAAGTAATGCGGGCGCGTATGGGGTAATAACATAATTCATGATATCTATTATTAAAGATACTATTACCTCATACGCACGCGCATTACTTTAATACCTGGTGAGGATTCTAAAGTACTTCATATAGATATTTTATTTTTGCTCTTTCTCTATTGACATTCTTGCGAAGAATTTACGCAAATCTTTCAAAGTTTATTATTTTGATTATTTCACACTTGTTACTAACAGTAATTGAGCCCCCTGTGTCGCATCTGGCTTTTTAACTATTACGCTCTCATGCACCCGAACCCGTAGCGTGTTGGGTTTTTTTGAGGGCAGGGGGAGGCTGAGTTAAGGACCTGGCTCACGACGTTGCTCACAAATCCGTTTAACTGCATTGGCACTTTCACAAAATTGGTAATATACGAAATTTTAGGATGGTTCTGACTCCATTTGGAGGGACATTCTTTGATATAAAAGGTGAAAAGAAAAAGAAGTGGTTCTGGTATAATATAACTGGTAGTTATGTTCATGCACCGCCATTTCAACCAATCACGTTTGCCTGGACAAAAGAGTTATCATTACGATGTATGGGACAGGTACAGAATGCGTAGATATATGCTTGGTAGTTATACAAATTTTAAAACGTGGTTGTCCTTTGGGCATTCAATATAAAAACGTTGGTTTTCCAATGTTAATTTTGATATGGGCGTCATATACCGTCATCCTCCATTAAGCCCCCGTCTCAAATAAGCCACCCTCTCTATTAAGCTCCCCCACCCTAAGATTGGATTTATTGAGCCCGTTGACATCGCATAGCTATATATACATGTTCAGCAAAGCATCTTTATTTTATAGGATTATATTATCATAACATATAACCACGGTCGTCACACCATTCGTTTTAATGTTGGAGCTAGATTAAAGGTAGGTCGATGAGAGTCAAGGTCATCTGGATTAGTTTGGACATCTCACTCTATTGAACTAATCGGTTGAAGGATTTTGAAGATAAAAATTTCGAGTCTGTTGCTCCTGGTTAGATCTTAGTCTCCTTCGCAGCCGCTCTTTTTAGATCGAAGTACTATTTAAAACACGAGCAGGAGTGCTTTATCGGATATAAAACAACGAAAGCGCAGCTCGAGTATTTTATATCTGATAAAGAACGGACTGCGAATGTTTTAAATGGCTTAAAAACGACCCATCTGATGAGTTCATTGGCGAATTAATTTCAAAACTAAACGTTGTCTAAGCCGAGAAAACATGATTTTTTATAACATATAAGACCACTGACACGGCAGTGATTTCTTTTATATTTTCCTCATGAATTATTGACTTTTTAAAATGATTGTATGAAATTTACTTTTGAAATTCCATCTATAAAACCCTTTGAAGAGAGTTTCATATACTGACAGCACAGGCAGGAGCGAAAATCCATTCCAGAAAAATGGAGGAAGAGTCGGCCAACAGACGTAATTTGTCACAGATTTATATTACGAATGTCCAAACAATGCATGACGTTAATTAAACGTTTAATTATATATTTGCTCAGTTGTCCTTCTTATGTTGAATTACAGCCAGTGGTAAAGAAAGTGAAATTGCCAACAGATGAAGAATATTACGAAATTCAACTGAAGGAGATACGGAAGTTTGTCAAGTAAGGAAATGTGTTTGTAATTCTCTTTAGTTACAGTAGATTTCAACTCACTTTTGCCTAAAATATTCCCAATTCGTTCCTAACTTCATGAAGTTCACAAGAAGTTCGCAAGCATGCAGGTTTGTAAATAAAGCCTCTGATTGGTCCTTGAAGTAAATCAAAAGCTTTGTTTCTAAACTGGTTTGTGAATTTCGTTACGAAATTTTGAACTTCGCACCAAACGTGGAAAGTGCAGAACATTTTAGGCAAAAGTAAGTTGAAATAGTCTCCTATAGGCTATACGCAACCTTTTTTAGGGTCGGCAAATACCCTCCCTTTTTGCCGTGAGGAGGTTTTGCCGACCCTAGAAACAGCTGCGCAGGAGACTAACGTTCAAATCGACTGTATAAGTATAGGTAATCATGCGATGGCGAGTACAATTAGGGATTAATAGTACGAGTGATGTTTGGATATTAGCATGACAAAATTGGATACTTCGTTATGTCAACATCATATTCTCTCGCCAAAGCTGCCAGACTTTCAACCAAAATTTGGTGCTTTTGTTCGTATTTTCATTTAGTTCTTTTGTTAAAGCAAAATTTGGTGCTTTTGTTCGTATTTTCATCTAGTTCCTCTATGGCAATTTCATTTCACATTTGTGTTTAAAATACCTTTCTGCCATTTTGTTTGTTTTGGGAAAATCATTAATTGTACTGCAGTACAATTAATGAAATAATTGTGCTCCTCTCAACCAATCAGCATCCAGTAATTTTATCATGCTAATAATAAAAACTGTAATACAGTTAATTAAAAGGAGAGTCTATAAATATTATTCCCTAGAATGTTCAGCGTTATTGTCCCTCGAAACAGTGAGATAATATAGGGATTGAATGAATGAATGAATGAATGAATGAATGAATGAATGAATGAATGTGAAATCTAATGATTCCTTTCCAAGAAATTTGAAAATAATGAAATACAAAATAATGATTCCTAAATTGTTTCAGTATTAATGCGTGTATATTTGTTACAATTTATTTACTGATTGTTGATTTACTTCATTTGAGTTTGGTGATTGAAAGAGTTCAGACAACACTGAGATTTCCACATTCACATCGGATCAACAAACTTCCAATGCCTGAAAGAAGCAGTAAACCACCATCGCGTATCCAGAGTAGAGTAATAGATACTGCTGCAGATGACAAGCCAACTGTCGTAGTCAATTGAACTGTACATAGTGGTAGATTGTACATAATACAAATTTGCTATATGTAGTGTATATGTTTGTAAATACTCGAATGTTTGGGACTGATATTGTTTATAAAACATCGCACGTTTGATAATATATGATTGCTATTCTCTGTTTTTAATATGTTAATATGCTTTTAATATGCTCTAGAAAATCCTGAGATAAGAAGAAAATATTAAACTGAAAAAAAAACATAAATAAAATATGATCGAAGGAATGGACAAAGTAGGATGCGTATGTGGGACACACAAAATATTATAAAAGTGACAAAGTGTGTCACTTTTATAATATTTTGTGTGTCCCACATACGCATCCTACTTTGTCGTCATATAAATATTTGGAGATGCAGCTCCTCCATTAGCTACACTGTGCTGATGAGCCCCAAAAGGGCGAAACAGCTGTCCACAGTTGCTAATGTGAGCAGGACACACTAAAGTCATAGTCCGTTCATGGCTCTTTACGCTGCTTTGAAACTACGACATGTAGTACGCATGCGTATTCGAGATATGACTTACTTTGTCACTTTTATATATATATGTATGTGTATATATATATATATATATATATATATATATATATATATATATATATATATATATATATATATATATATATATATATATAAAAAGTGGAATTTATAAACATGCATGTGATAATTATTGTAAACAAAGTGACAAGTAAATACTGTACATTTTAACGCCGCATACTTATAAAATAAATATTGAATAGTCATGTCAGTAACATTGTGAAACAAGCTTAATACACACAATATGCACTGAATATTATCAGAATAATTCTCAATCGATCGATCCATGCAATGCTTGACCTGAAAACATGCATGGTCTTAGGTCCGTCCTAGGTCAGTTTATAGTCAGTTCTGGTGCGTTTCACTATTGTCTAAGACTATATAACTGTTCTAGGTCGGTCTCAGGTAAGATATATAGGTGTCTATATAGTGTAAACTCAGTAAACACTGCATGTTTAAGACGCCCCCAGGTCTTATAAATCCTCATTTCGTCGCTCCTTATTTATCGGCAAGAAAGAGGAAAAATGTTTTATCGATATTTCAAATTATGGTTTATATATACAGATTACAGTACATGGAATGTTTATGTTCGTGTCTCACTCTGTGTCGAAGATTTGTTTTGTCTGCTGGCTCCTGATCTTCTGACAGTGTTCATATGTGTTGGATGGTCTCTCCGTGTGCTCGTTGGTTCTTCATGACGGGAAGCAAGTTGAGGAGTGAATCTCTGTAACACGGTAGCCTCCAGGCATATATGACTGGATTGACTCCAAAATGTATAGCGAAGAAGATACGGAAGTACGTCCAAATATGTAGGAAATAATTGTTTAAAATGCACGAATTGCAGTCGGTAGTTGTGAAGAAAAACACTACTACATATGGAGATGTAAATAAAATCAAAGACAAGCAAACCAAAACCATCGTATTGGCAAAGTTCTTCTCAATTTTCATTTTATTTCTTCGTAGTTTGGTATTGGTTGCGTTCATGGTAAGAACTTGTTTCCTTTGACGTCGTAAACTGGAGTGTGTTAGAGGATAGAGAACAAGGATTGTTGCTATGAGAATAAACGTATTTATAGCATAGATTGGATTCCCTGTATATGTTATTTTGTGAATGTCCTGGCCAAAAAACAACGGAGTAGAGATGGCGAAAGCAAGCAGCCAGGAAATTACCATTGCAATTACAGTATATTTAGTTATAATCAGGACACGGTAACGAAATGGATGAGCAATGGCAGTGTAACGTTCGAAAGATACCAGCATGACCGTATAATAACTGGACAGTGCTGTAGTTGCCACAAGCCAAGGAAGATAATGTGTTGTTAAGGCTGAAGTAGCGTATCTAGGATTCTGTGAAAACTCACACTCGATAGCCAGACTGAAGCAAGCACCAAACAAATCAGAGATAGCGACGTTAGCAAGAAGCAAAGCTGATGGAGTACGAAATCTTTTCAATGGATCTTTATACATTATCCATAACAATGCACAATTTAGAAATATTGCCAAAGAATAGCTGGCTATTGCAACGCGAATCACTACACTATAGTCATCGTTCACTCTTCCTGAGTTATCGTAGTTGAAGCTTTCGTTCTTTGGAATTAATAAGTCTAAAAGTTTCTTACAAATTGAAGTCTCCGCATTTTGAGCATCAAAGCACCCAAGGCGACTCATATGATGGATAAGCTCGCTTTTGTTCCAGTACTCCATTTAGATTTTAGGCTGTGTATTAATAACTGCGCACTTCGTGATATCAACTTCTCGCTCCGACACTACAAAATTCAACTCCGACCACTTATTTTGAATGCGTATTTTGAATTCTCGAAATAATTTCCTGTATTTATGTACATTTCTACACGGCAGCTGATCCTTGACAGCGTGGTATACATGTTTTTTAAACCTCTTTTCTTCTTGTTTACTTTTTCAATGAAATTTGAAATATATATATATATATATATATATATATATATATATATATATATATATATATATATATATATATATATATATATATATATATATATATAACGTATATATATATATATATATATCACGTATATATTTAACAAATATAAAACATTTTCCGTGTTGATATACAGTTATATCAACACGAGTGGAAATTGGGAAAACGAGAAATTGTGTGGAAACACGACGCCCGAAGGGCGGAG